GACGACGACGACGACGACATCATTAATTCTGTGACGACCTGTCTTGAGACTATTTTGATGCTATCGGATTTGCCGGATCTACAAACGAAGACGAAAAGCTTGAACCTAATTAGTAACTGAAATTCCACCATTCGTGGTCTTGGCCGGAAAGTGGCTCCGGGTAGTGTAACCCGTCTTTCTGTAAGTTTCACCCCAACAGTATTCAAGAGTGATGTTGTCCGATTCTGACATTCTATCCAGGTACTCTTGATATTAGTCGGATCTTGATTTCCTCCAATGAAAAGTTGGAATTCTTGCGTCGTGCATCGAGCTCCCTTTGATCAGTGCGGCGTCCAGCCCCTTCTCCATATCCCCAGACGAGCCAGGGTTCCCCACGATCTGATCGATCCAACCAAGAACATCATGTGGATGACTGACATTCTGGTCCCACGGCACCCGCAGATTTCGGGAGCGATCTCCTCGATGACCCGGGATCGTTGGCTTGGTTGTCAAGAATGGAGAACCCCAACTCATGGACAAGAGACGGCGCAGACAATACGCGTTCCTTGTTATTTCTGCCATGCCCCATGTCTAACTCTGTATAGCTTCACCTGCAGCATAGGTGAGGATTGTCGGGTCAGCTTGGCCAATAGGAGAAATCCCTATGTTACACATCAGTATAGCAGATGGTTCCATCGTCGCATCACAAGAACCGGTCTTCCAAGATGCGGCGCTCCCGCTTTGCCTAGCCGCATGCACAAGCACAGATCTGGGACCGACCACAGGGGAGCCCATTGTCTGGGATCCATCTTCTCTCGGTCACAAGGCCGCCTTGGGGGAGCACGAGCCATTCGGAGGACAGGTGTGGTAACCCCTGGCACCAAGCAACCGCCAAACGCCATCCCAGAGAGCCTGCCCCCCTTCATTGGTCATACTCACGCGGGGAAGTATCTGATTACCCCCCTTTCCCTCTTGTCTGGCGAGTAAACAGCCAAACAGATCCTAGGTGGCTGATCCTCTCTTGAACCCATGTGATGCAGGGTATGATCAGAGCCCCTTTTGGGAGCCTCCTGACCTGCAACAGAGCGCAGATTCCACGTGGCGGGCGACGTTATGGGCCGACTTGATCGTAACGAGAAAAGTATTTGATTCAGAGCGGCCCGCTGCCCTTACCCGACGCTCCAGTTTTTACACGAACCAGATTACGGATTTGTATGCTTCACAGGGAGATCATTATCCGACGAACTTTCACAGGCCCGGGAGAGCTACCGTCTCCAAAGCCCACGAACCTCTCGACACCACGGTTGCTCGAAGATAACCTCGACGATTCACTTGCATAGATCGGCTGAGCACTCTATGTCATACTTGGCCCGGCGTTGGTCCATCACAGGCCAGACTACAGCCACCATTGAAGCCCTCTGGAAACATCATAATGTAACACCACAATGACAGGTAAACAACATCTTGAAAGCAGTTTCTTGATATGTCTTGAGATTCAATACCCACTGCTGAACTCACAGCAAACCTCACACTGTCTAGAAAGGCCACGACTTCCTGTTACAACTACCACAACCTTCGACCCCAAAACAAAATGCAAAACCACCTGCACCAGATGGCGAAAAATCTGGATAATTCACATCCATCATGACATGTTCCCCAGGCGATCGATTCGATTCAGCCGGACATAATCGGGTTCATCAATGACGTGGGGGTCTGCACGCAACGGATCTCCGACACTGTGTTTACACAGTCATGGAAAGAATCTCGCGTGACACTTCAGAACTATCAAGCAATATTGCTACGAGAAGGCTCATCCATTCAGGCGAGACTGGCTCAGACAGTTGTGTTGCTTCAAGCTGGTCGAAATTTTATGTAAGGATTTCCTAACCTCGACATGGCTGCACACCGAGTGGCGTCCGATGTCACCCCCTGGCTCATGGGCCTTCAACGACCTGATGTTCCACCGCACCAACTGTCCTTGTGTTCCCAGAAGCCTGAGTGGCTGACATCTGCAATGCAAGAGCTGATCATCCAACTCGGAACTCTGGGGTACAGCTGCACAGTGTCGGGACTCATCAGGACTGGTCATGAACATCTCAGGCAACCCGAAGGTGATAATACCGTCACCATCTTTAGCACGAACAAACGAGACTGAAAACTTGGCCCCCTTTTTGGTTAGAACGCATACATATCCTTACAGAGTATCCGTACAGAAGTGTACAATGTACTTCGTACCCGCATTACACCGCCACTTTTAAAGGTCCCGTAAGATGCTCAACACCAACAAGCAGCTCAGCGGCTGCCCAGTCAAGCGCGCATCCCAACTGCGAACACAGCTGCATAAGGCCGTCACGAGTCACGAAGAGATTTATTATGAGCAAGGGGGCTCCACTATCAGACAGGGCTTCGTGCAGGCAATGCATTTGTTTGACGACCAGATTTTGCAGTTACTAGTGTACGCAGTAGTTTCTGCTCATGATTACCACACGCATTTAACCTCGCTGTTCACGAGGCGGGAAGCGGGAACTAGAGACAAATGGGGAAACATTTTTGTCATGAGCCACATGGAGCGGGGAAGTGGACTGCTGCACTATGAGCCGACCCCTTGTTTCCTTTACACTCTTTTGCACTTGTCCCCCGAAGACACTGATGAGTGCGGGGGTGCCAGTTGACAGTTTTGCCATGCTGGCTTGGTCAATTAACTCGGTATATTATTGTCGGGAGTTTATGATGCAGTGTACCCCTTGAGCGACTTGGTACTGGACCATTTCCGCGGAGTTGGGGGTCATGAAATGGTCTGGTGTAGGAGGTGTTATTTGTCCACTTGCCTGTTTTAGTTCACAGTTCAGATGCAAGGGAAGTGTCCGGCAGGCAATCCACAAAACCCCTCTCTCCCCTTTCCCCACTTCGGCTCCTGATGTCCCACAGTCCCCGGGTGATGCTCGGGTTTCAGACATCACCAGACGGGTTCAACATCTTCGGCCGATCAAGGTTCGGTCTCATTGTCCCGATTCCGTCTGCCGAGCGGGGACAGTGATGAAGACGTTACTAAGAGTAACGTGATTGTTATTAAAGATTCCAAGACTATTGTGGAAAACTAATGCGTGTGAAATCCTTCCTCAATTTCAAAATCTTGTGGACGAGGAAAAAAAAATTCGACAGAAAGCCATTGTTCCCAGCGGACGCCGATTCGTCACCGGGCGAGAGTCCGGAAGTGCCGGTGCTTAGCCCCCCTCCCTCACTTTCGCTTCTTTTTTTTTTGAAAAAAAAAAAAAAACAATAAGGCTGTTGCTTTCTGAATGGTGGGGGCCGTTGTCGGACTCGGCGGCAAACGTGGGATTTTTCGAGAGATGTTCTTTTTCTTCTTCGAATGCAGAGTAGCCCCTGGCAGAAGTCTGCATGAGCTTCACAGCCCCTGACAGGGAACAAATCAAGAAAGGAAGACAAGCAAAACCAAGGCGACAGACCGTTGCTCGTGTGACAGTCTGTTGGGATTTTCTTCATCATCCTGACCCCATTTTCTGTCGATCCTGGAAGACCACACAAGGCTCAACGAAGGGAAGAAAATTTCAAGAGGTCAGCTCGTGTCACCCTTTGAAGCCAGGGGTTGCGTGGGCGTTAGTGTTCTAACCCCCACGGGGAAGAAGCAGCGACGTCATGGCCGTGGCTGCTGATTTTTTTTTCTCCTTGGCCTCTCTGAGAAAGAACAGCATCATCATGATCACGAAAACTCGAGTGATTCTTGAGTGTTGTCTGTTACTTCCGATGCAATTACTGTCCACGCAACACAAGGGTACATGTAGGAGCAAGCAGGGTTTTTGGACACTTTTTTTTTTTTTTTTTTTTTTTTTGGTTCCTGACTTTCCCGATCCCGATGTGCTCGTTTCCTCACGTGCACATACACAGACGTCGGAGATCTTTTGTATCCCAGCCTGATCATCTAATCAATCATTTTCCTTTTTGTTGTTCTGGCTGACTCGGCTGCATTGCGTTATCTCTTATTCCGAAGGTGCGCAGGCGGTTCGATCACAGCTCTGGGCAATCATCTTCGCAGATCCTGGGCGTCTGCTGTCCTACTTGAGCCGCCATTTACCGTTGGCGCCATGGCCGCCGGCAACGCTGACAAAATATATACTATTACACTTGGTCCTCATCTCGCCACCTATACCCATTTTCCCTTTTCAAAGAGCGGCAAGGGAAAGTATCTCTGTACAACATGATGGTCTTACTTCTGAGGGGGAAAGTGGATTCGGTGTGAGATTGATCATGATGAGATGATGATGATGGGCGCAGAGGGACGGTACATAGATACATGTCAGACAATGTGACGGGTCAGGTGGGTTGTTGCTTCGGGAAGCTAAGAAATGGGGAAGGAATGGATGGATGGTAAACGTACCCGAGATTACGTTACCACACACCGGTTGAGGGGCCGTGGTTGGAAGAGGGTGTACATACCGGTGGGCTAGAAGCCGGCAGATGAAGAAGGGATGGAAAGGGGCGGATGACTGGAGGCTGATGTGAGAGCCGCCATTCATTAAGCCAATTCACACACACTCGCTCACAGTCTGTTGCTTCTCATTGCAAAAAGGTTCTAATTATCCATAGCCACAAAATATTTGGCTCAGAGTTTACATTTCTAATGATGACACGTCCATACATACATACATACTCCCACTCTAGCGGGCAGACATCTAGATGATCATGCCCCTTCCGCTCACCAACATCTCCAAATACTACAAGTTGTCATGTATAAACTAAAGTTGTAAGGAATAAACAAAAAAAAGAAAGAAAGAAAAAACTTCTGAGCCACAACTGGAGTGGAGCCAGAGAGGGTTTTCCGAAGCTACGAATCTATCCACAACCCGTTTTTTTTTAAATCTTTTTTTCTCTCTCTACATATTTCCAAAACCAAATGCATATTCATGGCTTTTAAGTGAATGATATATATATATATATCCACAATCTCATGAGACATTTCAACAATTCCAGCTAAATGAATTCACTCCCCCTCCCCCCCCCCTGGGTGACTAGTCTAGTGGTCAGGACGCTTCGTTGTGGTTTTCAAAATTATCGACAGGATAATTTGATACATGACGGCCCGAAGAAACCCCGGTTCGATTCCGGGGTCGCCCATTTATCTTTTTTGGCGAATTCTTTTTTTTTTTTTTTTTCTCTTTTTTTTTTTAAGCCAAGTTCGTGGTGGTGGGTCTTGGGATGAAAGACTGTGGTAAACACACAAAACAACAAAGAGACAATAGTTTTGAGACTGAGACTGAGACTGAGACTCGCGCTTGTATATATATATCAGGGTCAAGTCTGGAGTCATGTATTTTCCCTTTCTATTTTCGTGTTTGGTGACGATGATGGTGATGATAACTTGGTGAGCCATCTTCCACGAATGCTGAAATGGATGAGTAGGTATTGTGAAGAGTTCGAGGGCTACCGTATTGACTTCAAGTCAAATTACCTGTTAAAAGCTTTCTCAGTGAATATGCCATGATGTGAACTTGCCAAGTCCCTCCCTGTGGCGTTATCCCGGGGGCAGAAAAAGGGACACATACGACATGGATAGACGGTTACCACTTTCTGTTTACGAGACTTCTAATTAACTCGGACTCTTTTTCACGGCTTGGAAAGCCCTTTTCCTTCGATCGGAGCTTGTTTATTTTTCATCTTGGCTTTGGAAAGCTCAGATGGGGGGGTTTTCTTTTATTGCTAGTTTTCTTCCATATGGTAGACTTTAAAACAGAAACAAAATCATCACATCAACGTTTTCTGTCGCCGTTGAGGCTATTACTGACAGATTTTATTTTTCCACAAAATGAGAGCTCCTGAAACGAGGAAGTTAAAGAACTTCTAATTAACTAGCTCAAGAATCATTCGCGACCCCTTGCATATATGTATATATATATATATATATATATCCGAGTCCGCCTTCTTCCCGTATCACCGCAAGGCAGATAGATCAACATCGGATGCTCCCGTCGACTTTTTACCCCGATTGCCTAAAACCTCATGTGGTAGTGTTGTTTATTTGTGGAAATTGTTTGTTTATCCAAAACCCGCCGCCCCCTTTTATCCGGAAATACAACAGTCGATCAGTTCTTTTCTTCCATCTGCGGGGTCCGACTACCAGGTCATTGGAATGACGAGAATCTACTTCTAGTCTCGTCTCGAGGGGCCCGCTTTATCCTCCCACAAGATGTTAACCAAGGTGGTGTGCAAGGCTCTCGCAACAATGCCTCGATTTCACACCATCATCATCCTTCTGAGCGGCCTATTCGGCTCCCTAGTCGACGCAGCAAACTCGACAATCTACAACCCAATCTTCCCGGGCTTCTACCCAGACCCGAGCTGCATCTTCGTCCCCGAGCGCGACAACACATTCTTTTGCGCCTCGTCAAGCTTCAACGCGTTTCCGGGTATTCCCATCCACGCGAGCAAGGACCTGCAAAACTGGAAACTCATCGGACACGCGCTAAATAGGAAGGAGCAGCTTCCCAGGCTTGCAGAGACCAACAGATCGACGAGCGGGATATGGGCGCCTACTATTCGGTTTCGCCATGATACCTTTTGGGTTGTTACCACCCTCGTTGATGATGATAGGCCTCAGACTGACGAGTCGAGATGGGATAACATCATTTTTAAAGCAAAGGATCCTGCGGATGACAAATCGTGGTCGGTTGCCAAGCATTTTGAGTTGGTGGGTTATGATCCCGAGCCGTTTTGGGATGTTGATGCCAGTGAGGGGGGAAGTGGGAGGGTGTACATCAATGCCGCCCATGCGTGGCAGGTTGGGCCGTACATCGTTCAGGCGGAAATCGATCTCGAGACGGGGAAGCTGCTGAGCGAGTGGAGTGTAATTTGGAATGGCACGGGGGGATTAGCGCCTGAGGGACCACATATTTACTTAAAGGATGGGTGGTATTACCTGCTTGCCGCTGAGGGGGGCACGGGGGTGAATCATATGGTTACTATGGCTCGGTCGAAATCTGTGTCGGGGCCGTTTGAGTCTTTTGAGGGCAATCCGGTCTTGACGAACGCCAATACTACCTCGTTATTTCAGACTGTGGGACACGCGGATGTCTTTCAGGATGGGAATGAGAACTGGTGGGCCGTGGCTCTTTCTACGAGGTCTGGACCCGAGTATGTCCATTACCCGATGGGGAGGGAGACGGTTTTGACCGCGGTCAAGTGGGATGAAGGGGAGTTTCCTGTTTTCACGCCGATTTCAGGGGAAGTTAGCGTGTGGGAGCTGCCCGAGTCTGCCAACACGATCTCACCGGAGTCTATCAACTCGCCTGCTACTGAGGTTTTGACCTTTTCTCCCGGAACGAACCTGCCAGGTCACTTACTTCATTGGCGGTATCCGAACCCAGAGCATTTTGCCGTCTCTCCGGAGGGGTATGAGAATACTCTGCGGTTATCGCCCTCGAATATCAACCTGACTGCCTTGAATGGGAATTACGCCGGGCCGGGAGGACAGTCCTTTGTGGCGAGGAGACAACAACATACTTTGTTTACCTTCTCGGTCGACCTAGATTTTAACCCAACAAAACTGGAGGAAGAAGCGGGCGTGACGGCTTTTTTGACGCAAAATCATCATTTGCATATGGGTATTGTGTTGCTCCCCGAGCAGACTGGAGGTGGTTTGATCCCTCATGTCCGATTCAGGGGCGAGTCGTATGTGCCCGTGCCGAAGCCGGTGGTTGTGCCCGTGGAGGAGGAGTGGAGGGGCAAGACTTTGACGCTGGAGATTAGGGCGAGGAATGAGACGCATTTCGAGTTTGGAGTTGGTTTGAAGGGTAATGACACAAAGACTGTTGGTGTGGGTGGGAATGAAGTTGTTAGTTGGGGGTTTACAGGTAAGTGAACAACGTGAGGGGGTTCGGCTGGGATGAAAACTGACAGGATGAACAGGAACGTTACTGGGTATTTATTCCACGAATAATGGAAAGGGAGGGACGACGCCGGGGTACTTTTCGAATTGGAGGTATGTCCCTCAGGGGCAATTCAGAGGTTAGGGTTGTCCGCAATCTTCAGAACAGAGTGGGTTCAGCAACAAGACCAGAGCGTAGGCAATGCGGCAACGATATGGTTGATAAGAAGAGAGTGTGATTGTTGTGGTGTCAGTTAAAGTGCTTGACAGGCAGCAACGTGTGCGAATCTGATGGATGATGACAGCAACCGCTGTTGACCCTTGGTGGTTTGGTGGCTGCTTTCCACAACATAATGGATATCCCACCGATTTTGCTTTCTGTTCCATTTCTCCCAAACACCATCTCTATAACCTCCCATCCATGTGCTTACACGGTACACACAACGGGAAATGCAAACTTCACGTACTGCAACAAGCGGGCAAACGCCTGCGCCAACCTGGGGATGACACGACACCCAGTGCCACCACATTGCCACTAGCAATTCCAGAAAGTGTGAGCACAGACTCGGCAGCTTGGTCCGATGACGAATTCTACTTGTCCGCCAGCTTCTTCAAACACAATACTGAAGAAGCCAAACCTGATTTCGACCCCCGTTCCATCTCTTCTGCCAGGACAGACGAAAATTTCTACTCTTATAGCCAGGCTTTTTTCGACCAAGAATCGCTTGATATGAATAGCCCTTTGGGGCTTGACGAGTCTTCTGTCCACGATGAACACGGCCGCCGGACGAACCCGGACCACAACCAGCAAGCGCCGCCCCAAGCACCATCGTCAGCAGGGACAGCCGATACCACCACAGAGCGTCGACACCCTCAATTTGATGATCTTTATGGTTCAGAAGCGTCATCCGGGCTGAGAGAAGGGAGGGATCCTTGCACAACTCCGTGGGAGGCCAATGATGAGGGAAACGAGCAATGAATAGGGTAAAACGAGTCAAGACCGAAATGAGGGAGAAATGCTAATGATGGGAATACGATTGTATGGTCTACGTGCAATTTGCCTTATGGCTAGATATTTTATATAAAAAAATTGTTTCGCGAAAAGGAAGTAGTAGAAAGAATGGCGTTGAGGATGAAGGAGGGAGATGAAGTAAAATGGATCCCTGCAACCGTTCACTGCCGTTCAACAGTGCCAAGCCATCAACCGTGCTAAACACCCCCACTTCCCGGCCGGCAATTCAGACAGGGATATCAAGAACACTTAACTATCAAACCATCTCCCATCAACCATCTTCAACTCTGCAAAACAGCCCGCGCTTTCACAACGACAACAACAACAACAACAACAACAACCCCAGCGCGCCTCTCCATCCCCTTTCCATCATCTCCGCACCCCCCCCCCCCCCCCCCCAGAAAACCCCTCCTCAACACCCTCAAAATGCAGGGCTTCAACATGGGCCGCTACGTGCCCCCAGAGCACGAAGGCCTCACCTCCGCGAACCGCCTCCAGAAAAAGCACCCCCTCGGCTCTCGCGCACGCAAACCCGGCATTCTCGTCGTCCGCTTCGAAATGCCCTACCCCATCTGGTGCGCCACCTGCCCAAAACCGACAATAATAGGCCAAGGAGTCCGCTTCAACGCCGAAAAGAAAAAAGTAGGGCAGTACCACACCACTCCCATCTACTCCTTCGCTCTCAAACACTCCGAGTGCGGCGGGGCAATAATCATACAAACCGATCCGAAAAATACCGACTACGAAATCATCTCGGGCGCGAGACGGCGTGATCTAGGCGCACAAGATGATGAGGGAGCAATACAAACGCCGAGAGAACAAGCAGAGTCGAGATCGACAGCTATTTCCCTCCTCGAAAAGACAATATCCGATCGAGAGAAGTTGATAGACTCAAATATGCGCATAGAGGAACTGCAAGACGCAACAGGCAAACACTGGGACGATCCGTACGCGCTCAATCAACGATTACGAAAAGCCTTCAGGGCCGGCCGACACGAGAGAGAAAAACAATCAGCTGCAGCGGAAGACATAAAGGAGAGGATGAGCTTGGGAATCGATTTATTGCCTTCTACAGAGGAAGACGCACGGCGAGCTGCTCTGGTGGATTTTGGTTCGGGAGTCGAACAAGACTCTGACAGAAAAGTCCTGGCGAAACCGTTATTTGACACAGCCATCACCACCGTCAACAACAAGAAACAACCAAATACACTTGGAGGAAGAGGGGGGGGGAAGAATAATATG